TTTTGCCCAGACTGGCCTCAAATTCATGATACTCCTGCCTCAGTCTCCCAAGTAGCTGGGATTACAGGCTATTTCTGATGAGAGGGGTTGAGAGATGCTAAAATTTGAGAGTATCTGTGAAAGACTTCTCTTACCAACCTGGTCCAAAAATTGTGACTGTACTTAGGCAAGTGCACTGGAGACCAGAGGGCCTTCCCTGAATATTCTAGAATACATGAAACTTTCTAAAGAAAGTTTTAGAGGGCAAAATCCCCAAGTAATGGCTGAGTTTAGTTTGCTGGCAGCAGAATTATTCAAATTAGAGAAACATAGAAATATGATGTTTTTAATGAAATATCTTAAATCATAAAAGTGTATAGCATTAGAATTTTGAATGTCAAATAAAAAGTCTCCTGCCTGACCCCACACTCCACATTCTCAGATTCTGGGAATGACTAACTTTAATATTTATAGCTATTGTTTCTGCCATTTGCCTTCATATGTCTAAATAATGAACTTTAATAATTCTCTTTTTGAAGTTGTGTGTCTTATAGTTTAACCAATGATGTCTTATTATGAAAGAGGAACATTCAACTCTAACACACACACACACACACACACACACACACACACACACACAGCTTGCTGACTATATAGCCTGTCAGCATGGTTACATCACAACTTTAGATTGCTAATGGAGTATATTGTTATGATACCACACCCACAAAATAGGCAATGCTTCTAGGTTCCCCTTTCTTGAATAACTTTTTTACTTCTCTAGAGTCAATAAGTACCTCGTTAAAAAAAAAAAAAACTTGCTTAGTTTTTTATTTACTTATTTATCAGTCTTTCATCTTTAGACTTTCCACACCTTAGGAAATGTGTCACTTTTTTGTCATTTCTCATCCTCCTAGACTAATCTGGGCTAGGGAATATAGTTATGATTTTAGGGCTTCGCCTCACCATCCCTGTCTTGTATTCTCATTTATCCTTATCTCTTCATTCCCTTCATCCATCTCCCCATTTTTTTCTTTTATTTCTTTCCTTTCCTTTTTTGTTTTGTTTTGTTCTGGAGGGTTGACACATATTGTATTAATTTACTTCCCCTTTAAGGAGCGTTCAGGAAGGTGCAGGTGTCATTTTTCTCAGGAAGGCTTATCAAGTGCTGGGAAGGTGACAGTTTCTTGCCTGAAGTGGTTCCAACTCTCCCCATCATAGCTGAGTTCATAGTAGAAAGTTGAGTCCTCATAATCTGCAGTAATACACTCAATGTAATCTGCAAACATCAGATCTTAGTAACTCAACAAATTTTGTAAGTTTAGAAAACAGCTCTTCATCTTCCTTTTTTCTTTTTGTCTTTTTAAGACAAGGTTTCTATATGCAGTTCAGGCTGGCCTTGAACTCACTTTGTAGCCCATGCTGGTCTCAAACTTGTAGCAGTCCTCCTGCCTCAGCCTCCCAACTGCTGTGTACCACCATGCTTGGCAAGTAGCTCTTAGTCTTACGAAAAGTGATTGCTTATGTGAGTGCAGGTCATTCATCTTTAAGAAGTAGAAGACTGTGGCCAGAACATTGTGAATAAAAAAAAAAAAAAAAAAGCAAACCTATAATGTATTGAGACACATAAAATCAGTTCAAAAATATGAGCCCATAAAGACACGAAGATTCCAAAGCCAGTAGTTCTTGGTCATCTTTGGAGTATGTTTGCTATTGTGAAAATGAAGAAATAATCAAACATCTTACTTGTTCTGAAAAAAAAAATCCTTCATCATAAGCAATAGATGACAAGAGAGAGTTCTTATTAAAAATAATCTTGATAATAAATGAAATAAATGATATTGTCACACCTAGTGAAATAATATGTCCAGACAATCATTACTAATGGATACTAAAACCATTGTTAAAATCTGATAAGGGGGGCTGGTGAGATG